TTTTGCATCTAATTTTCTTGCTACATGCTCTGTTAGATCTAAGACTGCATCTTGAGTAGAAACCCCTTTTTTAAATCCATATTGATTGGGAGCTATAATATTGTACTTCTTAAGGTAGTTAGCTAGTCTTCCGTTAATTAGCTTCTCCATTACCTTAGAGAGGGCTGAAAGTACCGAAATAGGCCTATAGTTGTTGATGGAGTCTCTGTCCCCGCCCTTGTGGATCGGATGAATGAGCGCTTTCTTAAAAGGTTCCGGAAATACTCCATTTGCTATTGAAGTGTTTATAATGTGAGTAATTAGGGGAACAAGAGTATTCTTACATACCCTTAAGAGCAAGGACGGTATGCCATCACAGCCCGTGGCACTGTCGTGCCTAAGGTTCATAATGGTGGCCTCTACTTCCGACTCATCTACTTCAAGAATTACGAAGGAGCTACTATGATTGCTTTTATTTAAAGGCAATTGTGACATTTGGGGGGGGATTTTTGCTGCTAAGTCGGAGCCAATCGTAGCAAAGTATTTGCAAATACTATTTATGGCTATTTTCAAATCAGATTTGCTGTCAAGCAGTTCCGTAGGGGGTGCACATGTCTTTTTTGTATTGGTAATATGCTTGATTTTATTCCATAGTGCCTTTGTATTATATTTTGCTTTATCCAGTTCGTGTTTATCATGTAGGTTTTTGAGTTTTTTAAGTAGACTGTTGCAGAAATTACGATATCTTTTATAGGTTGTTAGTATAATTGGGTTATTAGGTGACATTCTAGCTTCTTTATGTAGTTTATCGCGGTGGCGTATACATCTTAACAAACCTGGGGTAATCCACGGTTTTAGGTTTCTATTTCTTTTTTTAACATGTACAACTCTTGTGTTTGCACTTACAATGTTTTGTATTGCAGTAACAAGAGCGATGGTAGCTTTAGTAGGATCCTCTGAAGTCATGATGTGACTAAAGTCATGGTGCTCAATATCGTACTTGACCTTATCATAGTCTATGCTAGGAATTTTAAAAGCAGGTAACGTTCCTTTGACCCACCTATCAGTCTCGACTGCAACAAGTAGTGGGAGGTGGTCTGTAATATGTGAGTCTAAGACAAGCACAGTTGATTTTTTAATAGTTTTAAGGATTACATGATCTATACACGAATTTGATCTGGTTGGGAAATAATGTGCAGGAAGAAGACCATGGGTAGCATTAAGAGTAAGATAGCTGGCAGAGCGTTCATTTGTACTAGAAGGTGTTATGTCTATATTAGTATCACCAATAAGACATATATTATCGTACTTGCTAACCGAGCTTAGTACATTATCCAGAGTGTTCAAAAAGAGATCGAACCCTTGGTTAGAACAGCTCGAAGGAGACCTATAAATGGCAATTATGGCTAGTTTATTGCCAATTTTGCAAGTAAGGGAACTGCCATTGATAAAGTCTGGTTCCTCAACTGTGTACTGTAATTGTTTTTTTATATAAATTACTACCCCATCATTTTGGTTTTTCGGTTTTTTTGTGGGGTGACAGTTGTATCCATCCATTACTGGTAGGTCAGCGATTTTACTAAGCCAGCATTCGGTTAGAATGACAACGTCGCAATCAACTTCAAGTAAGGTGAGTAGTGTTAATAATTCGTCAAAATTCTTTTTAATGCTGCGTATGTTAATATGTACAATAGTCGTAGAGGGGCCGACACTACTAACAAATTTCTTGCATTCGATTGGATCACACGTGTAAGCTTTCGCGACATCTATATTGTCTAATTCAGACAAGATATTATAAACTGAGGTAGCCATTTGTAAAGTTGTATATCCGCAATTTGTGAGGCATTGCTGAGGGTAGGATAGGTATTCGTTTAGGAGTCAGCTGGTTATTATAAATTTTATCACTAATTTCAACAGGCTGTGTGTGAGTAATGTCTATGATATATAATGAAAGTCTGTGCGTGTGTAGGATAGATGTTTGAGTTTGTAGATTAATAGCAGCAGACGTGTACTTTTTTTGTATATATGACGGTTTGATAGCAATGTCACTTTTATTATCAGGTTTAGCTATGTAAGATTGTGTTATTAGTGTGTTTGTAGATTTTAGAGGTATATGTGTATTTGTGTGTAGATTAGTGTTTGTTATCTGACTTAATATAAAGTACTTAATAAAGCAAAAATATTCATCATGCAGTATACAAGGAATGACGCAGTAGTTATGGTAGATTATGACTTGGCAGTGTAGTAGTAGTCATTTACTGTCTTGGAGCTCCTGGAGGGTAGTTTCGGATTTAATCAGTATTTGTTTATCTCCCGGTTGTTTCCGTAAAAAGATTCTGCCATTAGATGACCAACAAAATTTGTAATCATGTTGTTTTGCAAATTGCCTGCATAAATAAAATAGTTTCTTCACAGAGGAACACAAGTGTTCGTCCACATACACAGGATGCTTTTGCCCAGGGAGCCCTATGAGTTGTGTATTAAGCTTATGGTCATTACTTTCATGTTTAGTATTAAATTTACGTACTCGGGATATAAGTTCTGTCTTTATTTGTACACTTGTGAGTTCGGCTATAATGGCTTTGTTGGGTGAATTTCCCGAGGCACGATAAACATCTCGGATTGCCGTAGGCGATATTGGTAGATCAACGGTGCTCCCAATATTCGTTATAATATTCGTAAGATCAGCAGCCGACTCGTTTGGTTTTAATGGTACATTACGAATCTCGATCGTTGAAGAGCGTGACTGGTATTGAAGATCTCGTACAGTCTTTTCTAAAACTTCTGTGTATTTTTTGTAATTTCTACATTCACTTTGCAGCAACTTCACCTTGTTATTCATATCATCATACAATTCACTGATGGTAGTAATGGATTTTTCTATCTCTTTATTTGACTTCTGAATGTCTAGGTTTTGTTGCTTTAATTCAGTAACTTCAGTAACAAGTTTTGCAACTAATGATGTTTGTTCCGCCAAAGCCTTCGAAAAAGCGTCTTCGTAATCGCGCTTCCAAGTTGTCAGCATTTGTTTGATTTCGAGCTTAAAATCATCTAGGTAGCTGGTGTGGGAATCGTTAGTCCTAAGTCGTTTGTAACGTGTTACATTGATAAGTTCTGGGTCACTTATGGCTTGGGTTATGTTTGGGACTGACTGCGATTGTTCTACTGCTGTCGTAGACGGGAGTTTTAATCCTTTTTTAGGCGAATGTTTTACAATCGACATAGTGATAATAAACGATTACCTTTAAACACTTAGTGGTATGAGTCGAATAAAGGACTCGTTTCGTAGCCGATAACCAACACGTCGATCGACCGCAATGCGTAGCAAAGAAAGGTGTCCACCGTAGCGTAACTTACGCGCGTAGCACTGTGTCGCAGCCGCACGCCGTAGCCGACGCTAGTTCTTATGTTGTCCTCTATTACGAGATAACGCGCAGTGTCGTGTTGGCCTGGCGCGGGCGTCAACTCACCCCACGCACGCGTCCGGGGATCAAAACCCACCAATTATTAGATGCGATCACTGTGATATTACAAAGTAGACGCAAGGAAATAGTTTGTCTCTTTCTTGACACTCCCAAAAGGCGTAAACCTTACGTTTATTCACTTAAAGTCAGACAGAGAATTAAAATTACACTAATCAACCAATAAAGCACCAGTAAGGAGCAGATATCGCACACACGACCGCACTCGACAACAGCAATGAGCAGAAATTGAAGATCTACTCCGATGACTGCAGTGAGGGCCCGGTGCTGCGTCACCCATGCGGGGCAAACCGCCAGCGTGTGCTGGGCCGAATCCTCACTGCAGTCGCAGTGGTGGCAGGCGGGACTCGATTCCCTCCTAGCGACCGAGTACAGGTACTTTCCGAAGCAACCAGCACCTGCGTCAGCCGGAAGGAAAGGGTCCCGTGCTGCCGCCCTGCTCACTCGGCGATGACCGGCTGGAGAGCCTCCACGGCGGCGAAGCCAGCGCGTGGAGTCTCCAGCCGGAACGACCATCTTACCATGGTGGCTCGGCGAGCGGCTTCGCGCCACTCGCGCACTTCTTCGGGCGGAGGGCGAAATCCGCTCTCCGCCCGGAAGTCAGCCAATCGCCGATAAACATCGGCGAGCACTTCCGCCTCCAAATCCCACGGGGGTGTTCCGGCCAAGGCACAAGCCGCCTCGGTGGACACCGTGCGGTATCCGCGTATGGCTCTGACCGCCAATATCCTCTGGGGGCGCTAGAGGCGCGCCCTATTCGGGGCGGTCAGAGCCGCCACCCACACCGGTGCACCATAAAGCGCGATGGACCGGACAACCCCCGCGTACAGCCGCCTCGTGGGAAAGTCGCCCTAGGGCGGAGGCAGTGTCCACCAGCTTCGGACCAAGCTGTCGGAAGTGCTCGTCGAAGAGCCACCTACTGTCTAGGACCAGACCCAGATACCTCATCTGGGCCCGGACCGGTACGAGGACCGAGCCGACCTCGATTGAGGCGCCGGCTGGTGGACCACGACGGGGCCCATGAAATAATAGGGCCTCCGTCTTATCCAGGGCCACCCGTAATCCCAACGCCTCAATGCGCCCGACCACCTGGAAAACGCCCGTGGCGGCCAGGCATCCACTAAGAAATGACTTTTAGAAATTTTACGCCTAAGGGGGTTAAGTAAGGGATGAACGGTTGTTTCGAAGTTTGTCATATTCTAAGTCAAGTTTCAAAATATAAGATTTCAAGTTTCTAACATGAAATCTTATATTATTAACATATTAATAACATGTGCATGAAATAAGAAATAAAAAAAGAACCCACAGGCAATTGCTGGTAATTATAAACTGTCTATAAACTGCATTTCAGTTTAAAACAAACTAATTTTTACCAAATCATCAACGCCTTCCACCCCGCCCGCTTAAGTTCGCTCCACCCTTCGCAAGTACTTCGCCGAGATAGATTTTCAACGCGAATGGTTACGTTGACGACCGAAATTATGCGCATGAGTGAACTTTGTAACGAGTTGCTCAATGTATATTAAACGCCGATTAGGCATGCCGAAGGACGTATGTGTAACGAGGTAAAAAGAAAACATTCTTTAATATCACTTTTATGACAAATGTGAAAGTTTTGACTGATTTTTAAGCCCGATGCAAAAAGAGGTTGACGTGTCTTTGTGTCTATCTGTGGCAGCTCCTAAACTAATGGCCCATTGAGTTTTTAACACGTTTTTATTGTTATTATTTGAAAGCTGATGCGATCGAGATGGCTCTTGACTATAATTTGTGAAGATTATGCTATAATTTGTTAAGTTTGGCCAAATTTTGAACAAAAGCCTTAGAAAAATCTAATCTATCTTTACATAGTATAAAATGAAGTCGCTTTTTTTTCTTGTACGCTCAGATCTTTCAAACTACGCAACGAGTTTTAATGCATCCGAAATATAAACCGTTAAGCAAAAAAATATTTATTAAAATCACTATCATTTTGGAGCAATTTGAACACGTCCATTTTGGCGCGCTTTTTATGTGACGTCAGATTACACTTTCAGACGAATTCGATGTCAACAACGGAGTGAAGTTCACAAAGTTTCTGAAAGTTAAAAAAGTGAGTGATAAAAATTAACTTATTATCATGGAAAGCCAATAAAAACATATTATAAATATTGTGCCGTTCCTTTGTGCCCAAATAATATCAAAACTGCACCTGACAAAGTATATTCAGTCATTGTATTGAGTCTTTCTACACGGGAATTTAATAATTTAACACTGAAAACGTTTTAGTTATTAACTTAAAATAAAACAAATAATCACCAGAAACCAAATATTACAAATACACACAACTTGTTGACACTCTTGACAGTGTAGGTTGACGTCACGTTTTATTCAACTAATAGCGTTGCGTTTTAGAAATTTGCGAGGGAATCTTAAAAAAACCAATTTTTGATGATTAAATTTCACTATTAAATTTTAATATATTTCAAAAATAATTGTATGGGTATCTTTTTTTAGCAATAAAAATTACAAATAAAAATATTTTGTCCATTTTGGTGTCACGTGCATATTCCCTATTACCTCACGTCATACAATAATTTTTGATACCATTTTTTTTTCTTCTACGTCCATAGGATAAAAAAAGTGAAAACTTTTTCGAAACAGTTTTTTGTGATTAACTCGGCAATGGTTGAATGCACAAACTTTTACTTACCATACACAATTACACGACGTAATACAATAAATATCTGTTAATCTTAAACAATAAAATTCGAACTTTTTCCGCTGGGGCAACGCACACAATATTGTTATTCGATATTTAATTTTTTTACACATGCAATACTAAATTATGCATAAAAACTCTTTTTAAACTCGTTTTGCATGAAACAGATTTAATTGATTTCTGACTGTGTGATTTATAAGGTTTTTGAAATGACCGATTTAATTAGGGTCACCAGACTGCTGATACACATATATATATTCTAAATTTGTTGATAAACATGACACCCAACCACGGAACAAGTGATCGTGCTCATTATAAAATTATTTGTCCTGGTTGGGAACCGAACCGATGACCTCTGTCTGAACAGCCAAGCTCATTAACCACTGAACTCACAGGCCAGTATACTTAAAAATAAATAACTTTATAATAAAAATGTTTGTTAATAAAGCGCCATTGAAGCATTCTTAGACTGACAGGAGTTTCTTTTATATATTTTTATTTTAATATTCCATTCACAAATAACAAATAAAAATACGATTTAATTAAAATGTGTTGGACAAGCTATTTGTCAAGCAGATTGTTGTCGCGGTTCTGTTGTTATTATTAATTAAAATGGCCGCCTAACCTGCTGTTATGGCGAAAAAAATGTATATTAATGTGTCGGGCGTGATGAGACGTTCTCTAATAAATATAAACGCGTTTAGATGACCCTGTGGGAACTTCGTATATTATCAAAAATGTGCTTTTAAAAGATTTAGAAGAAAGTGCAAAATATTTAATTGACATAATTATAACTTCCACCACTTCCACTTGCAATACTTGTCCTCGTGAGGAAGCAGAGGCGTGACCTCGTGACTGCCATCGGAGTGGAAATTCTCTCACTCGGTGTCATGATTGCGGCCATGATACTAGTATTGCCCAAAATCGGTTTAGGTCTCGCAGTGTTGGTCTTGTTCTTGCGTTTTCGCAAGACCAAGAACAAGATCATATAATTGTAGCAAGACTAAGACCAAGACGGACCCATGCAAGACTTTAGCAGGAACAAGACCCTGCAAGACTCTTGCGTATCGCCGATAATTCGAATTGAGATCGTATTTATAATTACTTTTTTGATAAATTAAAACTACTATGTCAAAAGTGCGGCACTGCCGCCTCACGCCGATAGGCGACGGCGCTCGGCTACATGTTGCAAAAACGGAGAAAAATTATTTCTTTTGAAAGGCGCAGACGAGTTGAGCGGGTCAGCTAGTTTATTATAAAGTAACTGCGTAATGACAATATTTTTTTTATTTTTTTTATTTTTTTCTGACACCAGCATTTACGAATTTCAAGTCGGAGCATGCACCGTCGACAACGACCTTAATGCTTCTGTCCGCAAGGAAGCTGGTGACCCAATTACATAATTTCTCGGGAAGTCCAAAGGAAGGGAGCTTCGAGAGAAGCGCCTTATGCCAGACCCGATCAAAGGCCTTCGCTATGTCCAAACTAACCGCACAAGCCTCTCCTTTGGTCTCGATCGCCTGTGCCCACCGGTATGTTAGAAAGACGAGAAGATCACCAGCTGAGCGACCCCGACGAAAACCATATTGTCGGTCATTGAGTAGCTGGTGATCATCCAAGTACCGGAGGAGCTGGCTGTTGATTATGGATTCCATAATCTTAGAGAACAAATGTGTATTAATTTCAGTTTCAACAAGGTGCTGTTGCAAAAGGAAGAGTTAGAACAGAAACAGCTGCATCTACTACAGGTGGTAGAGAGCGAGAGGACCTCACGCTGGCAGTATGCGCAGCAATGCGACGAACTCGCCAACGAAGTGAAGAAATTGAGAACTGAGGTAGGATATTTAGAGGATAGATAGATATATTTTATAGCACACTAATTAGTACGTAAGTAAAGGAACGGGTGTAATGTCCCTCCAACACAAAGGGAGGATCCTTCGACCAGGCGAGATGATCATACTTAGCGGGCCGCACCCCACGATTGATGTTAGGAAGTTTTATATACGCGAATCTGCTTGAGAATTATTCATATCTCGATACAGGATTAAGTGTTACTGTGTAGTTCGGTATTTCTTCGTCAGATGGCGCTGTAGCATGTTTCTGTTTCACTCTTCGTGGAATTCACCACAAACCGTTAGCTTCATAATGGGAGATTTTATCGCAAGCTGGGATTTTATAGATGGAACATTATAGATCGTATTTTTTTGTCAAAATTGAATGGCATGGAAATGATGAGTAGTAAAAAGATAAAGTAGATTCCTAGTAAAACGGTAGATATTATTTATTTATTGCGTAACAATTATATCAGACTGGCTTCTTAGTCTAGTGGTTAGTGACCCTTACTGCTAAGCCGGAGGTTGTGGGTTTGATGCCCAAGCGGGACTAATAGTTGGGTGATGAGCAGGATCATTTGTCCTGTATCTGTGTGTAATTTATCAACACTATGTATGTGTTTAAAAATATAAAAGTATGTCTAACAGTAATCTGGTTACCTTTTTTTTACGTGTGGAAACCCCCTGGGGCCGTCACCCCACCGGGGTTTGTGGCGGGATGGTGTGTCGGAACCGGACCGACTGAAACCACACGGTGTACCACTCTGCACCTGTAATAGGAGACATCCGGGAACTGCTGTTATTAAGACATCTGGACCCAGCGGTCTGGTTATCATAGCACAGGCTCTGCTTAGTTTGGTATCAGACAGCCATATGTAACATGTGTATAGTTATTATTATTATCATATTGTTATAGCTATGCACGTATAAGAAAGAGCACGAGACTCCAACACGTGCGGCTTCCATCTCCAGCTCTTCGCCAAGCCACTCACCGGACATTGACCCTGCTGAACTTAAGAAGATCAAGAAAGTACAGGTAAGCCCTCATAAATAATGATTCGTCTCCTCACTTGTTGCAAAACACATCTGTTGGGGTTTCTAGGTAGTTAAATGAATACTCCCAAGATCGATTCGGGGCTTTAATGTCCAATATAATTGGGTTTTATAATTTTATGTGTCGCAATGTTCGCGCGTTGGAAGTGAGGGAAAAAGTAATGTTGTAATGTAGTTACAATGTATAGTGATGCGACACGAATAGCATAGACAAAAACTAAGTTTACGGCGGTGTCAACAACATCCACTGGTGAACAGGCAATCGTTGGTCTAACGTGATATTTTGAAAGAATATAATAGATTCCTAGGTTTAAAAAAAAATCCTCTGCATCATTAAACGTATCATCTCACAGTATAGAAATGAAAAGAAAATAATAATTGTCATTCAACTGAACTTCTCGTGGAAAAAAGGGTCCTCCTTTTTTTCACGAGAAGTTCAGTTGAATGTCGATCAGTAAGAACTAATTAGAAAGGATAACATAATTTTTTAAATAAAATTCAATTGAATGTGTTTTAGAGTTTCTTTCGAGGCTGGCTGTGCCGTCGGCGCTGGAAGCAGATCGTGGATGAGTACATCAAGAGTCCACACGCGGAGAGCATGCGGAAGAGAAACAGTCTTGTCTTCAAGATGGTCGAGGCCGAAGAAGAATATCTCGAGCAGATGGAGATTTTGGTAAATGTCCACTATCGTGCCTCACAGACGGAGTTATCTGGCAAATCTGAATGCTTGGACAGATAGATGTGTTTTTGGAAAACAATTCTATACTGGAACCGTAGCACACTTCTAGAAGTAATTCCTGAAACGTCTTATCAGATTCCGAAATTTAATCTGAAACAACCTTTATATCTTATGCTAGGTGACCTGCTATCTCCGGCCCTTCAAAATGGCGGCCAGCTCCAAGAAACCTCCGTGCACCCACGAGGACGTCAACTCCATCTTCTTGAACAGCGAGACCGTCCTGTTCCTTCACCAGATTTTCTTCAAAGGTCTAACGTCTCGAATGGAATCCTGGCCAACGTTGGTCTTAGGTGAATGTCTGATGAATAGGACTTTAATATGGAATGAAGCTAATCATTCATAATGATAATTTTTTTGCAGGGAACAAGAAATACATACGATATTTAGGTACAAAATATATTTTACATAGACTCGTCCAATAGGCAATTTTTTAGGCCAGTAGAGTCTCTTAAAACTTCACGATACGCCATACTATATACCCAGTACTATGTACCCAGGAACGACTGTTTTGAGACATCAGAAATTCCACTCATAGCACCGGCCATCAAAACGCTAGGGTAACCTTTTATCTAGAAGATGTCTATGACAATTCCTTGTCTAAGTTATCCAATTAGTTTAGAACCGAAGTTATTCTCGACCTATTCGAATGATGCGAAATCAAATCGCGTCGCAATTAATGAAATTGAATAAAACAAATGCAAGTAATTGGCAATTTCACATTGGGATCTAATTCAAATGATTTCGCCAAAGTACTTAATCCCACAGTAAGTCACTGTTACGAAATAAATTTGTATTTATATACGTTTCTAAGATGTTTTAACAAGGTTATATAGATAGGGAGTGCTATTGATCGCAGATAAATCTGATCGAATTAAAACTCACTAACCTAGTGTACATGTGGTGTTGGATTAAAAATACGGAGTGTCACCACCCCTATTCATCCGATAGGTGTCGTAGTAGCAACTACGCAGGACAACAGCACTGCAAAGAGATGGAAACTTGGCACAAACCTCTTACCAACCCGTTTGGCCAGCGTGGTATAGTCGGCCAAAACCTCCTTTTATGTCCAGCATTGGACTATTAAAGGCTGTCGATGAAATAACAGCTGTACTTTCTCCGTTTCTTTACACAAATACAAATTATCAGAGGCGTGGAAATAAGCAAGCCACTGCCAATCCCAAAGAACAATTCCTGCAGCCCTTTGTAATTATATGCATAAGTTACCTACTTCAGTATACAGCAAGCTTTAGCTGTATCAGTACAAACAAATCACACTTAGTGGTGCACTTACATACAGGAGACCTATTCGACATGCTGCTGCCGATGCTGACGATCTACCAGGAGTACGTGAGGAACCATCACTACTCCCTTCAGGTTCTCACAGAGTGTAAGCAGACCCAGCCGTTTGCCCAACTCCTGGCACGTTTGGAGAGCAAGCCAGCCTGTCAGAGCAGGAGTCTCGAGACGTTTCTCACGTATCCTATGCATCAGGTGGGCTAGTTGAGTTTGTTTACTTTTTCCAAAACATACTTGTAATTTTTTTCGTTAATCCTAGTACGATACGGAAAACGATTTTTGATTAATGGCTAGATTAGAATTAGAGTTAGAAATTAGAATAATTTATTTTCTCATATTTCTTTCTCTTGTATAATTTCGTGTGATTTACCACTTCGGCTTTTATGAAGCCCGAAGACCGGTTTTGAGTATATTTCATAAACTAAAACTAATTGTACAACGTGTGAAGATCCCGAGGTATATAATAACTTTGCACGAGCTCCTGGCGCATACACCGCACGACCACGTAGAGCGCCGCAGTCTACAGCACGCACGCGCGCAGTTGGAGGAGCTCTCTCGACAGATGCACGACGAGGTAAATCTTAGAAAGCTTTGGTTAATGAATTGTGACTGAGCCTGTTGCAACTGAGCAAGCAAGAAAATCTTTTTACATACAGGTCAGTGAGACGGAGAATTTGAGAAAGAATCTAGCTGTGGAGCGCATGATAATTGAAGGATGTGACATTTTGCTTGATGTGAATCAAGTATTCATTCGTCAAGGTAAGTGTCCGGAGATTTTTTGCTAAATAACAAAACTAATGAGTGCATTTCTTCTTTTTAGGGTTCCGTACCTCAAAAGGTTAAAAAGGAACCCTTATAAGACCTTGCTTTTAACCAAAATTGTCAATTCTAGGTCAACCGGAAGTACTCTATAGGTTTTGGGTCGAAAACCTATATGATAGTTCCCGTTGACCTAGAATCACGAAATTTGGCAAAAAGAAACGTCTTACAGCATAAATAAAGGAATAATTCCAAAAAATAAAAAAGTTGAAAATGAAGATAAATTTTGGTACTTACAAATTTTCGCGAAAATCTACGTAAAATCTGGGTAGGTACGGAACCCTCGGCGCACGAGTAGCACGAGCACTCGTACCTGACCTGTTTTTGTTAATTCTTCTTATTAAAAAGATAACTTTAGGTATGAGGAACATATCCTGTGTCGAGGGCGAATTCCACAAACATCCATGAAACGGACACAAAAAACACCCAGACTAAAAACAACAATTTGTGGATCACACATAGTGTCGTCCCAAGGGGTTCAAATCCACAACACTCAGCGTAGTAGAAAGCGGCGTGGTGACGGCTTAAACCACTACGCCATCCGTGCAGTCAAATTGAAATAAACATCTCTAATTAATGTTTACAAAACTCTAAACCTTCGTGTCACAATCACATCATCAATCTAAACGACAAATAAATTGACACTTTATCACAATACAGCTGTTTATAAAAAAAATATGTTTTTCTTAGGAACCTTATCTCAAGTGGTAGGAAAAGGTCGTCGAGCATCTCTTCAGACTCGTCAAGCATTTCTATTCAGCAATCATCTTCTGCTGGCAACAAGAGCTACTGGTGGAAGACTTCATCTACCCCCATCTGCCAGACTGCCCTTGCATGATGCCTTACTGATTGAAGACCCAGGGAACGAAAATGAGGACGGTAAAGAATTTAAGTGTCATATTTTCGATGCAATGACTTCCTTTTCGGGGTTTTTGTGCATGTGGATACTCATCAAGATACTTTAATGTAAGTTTTAAGTGTTATTTTATGGCATGGGTGGCAAACGAGCAGATGGGTCACCTTATGGTAAGTGATTAACACTGCCCATGGACACAGCAGCTCAAAAGACGTGAATACCTTGCCGCCCTTTGAGTTCCGCTCCCGAATTTTGTGAATAAGGGTGATGGTTGGCTAGCCACTTATTTGGGCTTTAGGCTCTTTTTAACCATACCCACTCATTGAAAAATAACAAAGGACAAGAAACAAGGACATGATCTATTACATCGAAGGCGTAAAGATCAATACGAAATACACTATTTCATGCTTTATGTTTAGATTACAAACAATCTCTTCAAAAAATGAATTAAAAATATTATGCATTCTTAGTGCTTTGTTTTGGCTGAATGCTGGTTCTTGGAGTTGCAATCTGTAATAATTTGATGTGCTTATTAAATGTTTTTTATACGTTTACTTAACATGTCATTCGGTTAAATTGGTGTCTTATTCATAGTTCATTTAAAAAGTGAAAGATAATGAAATATATATGTAAACCGTCTATATTTATTTATTTTAAAATTGATTTTGTTTTTGAAAAAAATACCTGTTTTAAGATCATGCTAAATATTAAATAAAATATTCAAGAACATTAGTTCTTCAAATAGAGGCAAGTCAAGGCAGTCCATTAATATAAAGATGCTTTTGAATCTTAGTCTAGGTATGTCTGCCATGAGCTTTTAAAGTTATAACTCCATATTCAACGCACACCAAGATCAGAAGCTACGCATGTTAGATATTAAATGCTAATACACACAACAGCTATACATTTTAGATTCTACTTCAGTGTGCTCATCCCCGGGAGGCGACATCTACCAAGGGAAGGACTTCAAGATACTTGTCGAAGTTAAAGGCGAGCAGATTTGTGCGCACTTGGGTAAGCATTGTTGACAATTTATAGAAAAAAGTTGCATTATTGTAAAATTAAAATAAGAAACATTGGTACTAATTCTGTTGTTCGAAAACTATATATAATATATTCTACTACATACACACAACGCCATCTAATCCCAAACTAAGCAGAGCTTGTACTATGGGTACTAGACAACTGATATAAATACATAGATATAGTTTTTTTTTTGTAAATACATGCATATTATACATAGAAACATCCAGACCAAATCAAACATCAAATGTTCATGCACACAAATGTTTGACTTGAGCGGGAATCGAACCCGCGACCTTTGGAATAGCAGTCCGTTACACAAACCGCTACGCCATCCAGTCGTCAAAACTAATAACTCTCTAAACTAATCTAAAAATCACTAAAAAAATTCAAATATTACGTTTTCAGAATAGGAAACGTTGTTTGACAGAACCAAACAATTTTTTAGTGATTTTTAGTTTAGTTTAGAGAGTTTTCAAACAACAGAATTAGCACCAATATCTATCTCATTCACTAAACTTGCTTAATCGATGCGTCACTATTTTCTTAATTCGAATGAACTATAGTTACTATTTTTCGGTTACAGCATTCATTTACTCTTATTTATTTAATTAATTTTTTTTTTATTAATTTATTTCATGTATGTTTGATTACATCTAAATTAACTTAATTATATTTATAGGAGTTTTAATTTAAATCCTTTGTCAGTGGCGGGCAGTGTGGAAGACAAAGCAGGCTGGACGAGCGAGTTGGCGCAATGCATGGAGAGCGCGGCGCTGACGGAGTTGCTGCGCGCGTGCGGTGCGTGCGGTGCATCATCAGCCAGCCTGCCTGCCTGCCGCTCCGACCGCGCGCTTTTCACCGATGACGTAGACATTCGCTTTAGCCGAACGCTCAACTCCTGTAAAGTGCCGCAGATACGTTCCGCCACACCGCAGAGACTCCTGCAGAGACTCACAGGTATGTTGAATATTGCATCTCAAGTAAGTCAACAATTACTTTCATCTGACAACTTTAAAACAAAATTTAAAAAAGGAACAGGTTCTCGAGTCCATGGCGTTATTTTTCTTGTATAGGTAAGTACGAGTATTTTACACTATATCATGATAGTGCATGATATTGATAGTTAATACTTAGTTTTGTAGTCCCAAGTCCTTCCATAAACAACAAATATGTAGATACATACACCTACGAGTACATACAATACATGTAATTGTACTAAAGTTTCGAATGTTCCTTGGCTATTAAACTATAAACAAATGTTGGTAAATATTATAATTTTATAACAGATCTACGTTTCCTGTCGGTGGATTTTTTGAACACCTTCCTACTCACATATCGAGTGTTCACTGATGGAGTCACAATACTTGAAGCCCTCAAGCAAGTGTTCTATGAGCAGTCACAACAAGAAATGGAGTTGGCCCCACCACCGGATACATCTGCCATCAGAAAAGCAAGTGGAGCTAGTTCGGTTTCTGGTGAGTATTTTGGTGTTTAATTTTTAACTCAAAACAATTTCTTTATTTAAATATTTATGCTTTTGCATGCCATGTTGATGCATTACCGTGTAGGTATGTACTTTTTTTTTTTTTTTTTTTCCGTGCGGAAATCCGCTCGGATACCACCTGTCGGTGGCATGTCGGACTCGAACCGACTAAAACCGCACGCCGTCGCCGGGTACTATAGTTAAACCGCCGTAAGCTTGGCCCTCCTGATGGTTTGCGGGACGCGGGGCGGTTGATGCGCTCGGCTATACATGACACGATGTACTAACTCGATATCTTCAGATTTATTTGTTTGAGATTTAATCTACACACGATGTAATAAAAATCGAATTTATTTCCATGTATTATAATGTCAGTGTATTGTAAGTTTTTATTATTAATTGTAAAATTTAATACTGTAAAATAATTTTAATAAAATCACCTTATCTTCATCATGTAAATTATATTCAGATACAATTTTAAAATTTAAGTAAAATAATAAATATTCTTTATTAGAACTTTAACAATAGAACCTCTGTAAGCCGAACTTCAAGTTTTTAAATCTTTTTGTGACGCAGAGTCGGCAGATTATCCATGTTGCAAAATAATACCGTGTGTAGCAGTATTAAGAAAAATAACACGTACAGCCATGCTTTCACGTCAGTCACTGTCGGCGGACAGCGACGCACTAGCTAATTGGTTGAATGCATCCCCGCCCCGCGTCCCCCAAACCATCAGGAGGGCCAAGCTTACAGCGGTTTAACTATAATAGCCGGGGAACCAGGTATACCCTAGAAAGGAAGTCCCTGGTGCTGTAGGTATGTACCTGCAACGTACATACCTACACGTTCGTTTTATTGACGACCGGATGGCGTAGTGGTTTGTGTAACGGACTGCTATTCCAAAGGTCGCGGGGTCAATTCCCGTTCAAGTCAAACATTTGTGAGCATGAACATTTAATGTTTGATTTGGTCTGGGTGTTTCTATGTATAATATATATGTATTTACAAAAAAAAGTATATATGTATTTATATCAGTTGTCTAGTACCCATAGTACAAGCTCTGCTTAGTTTGGGACTAGATGGCCGTAAGTGCCGAGAACATTACGACTCGAGACTTGCTTATTCAAACACAATTTATCGAACGAAAAAAAAAGTTACAATAAAATGTAATGTTTTTTTTTTAAATTAAGAATGTGAAAAAAGAAAAAAAAACTATACGAGTAACTACGTACAGGTGAAATATAGGTGTAGGAAAAGTCATAGATGCGTCTCATAAGCTGACTAGTTGGGCCAGCCTAGCTCCTTGACGTTTCAAATGGATCCACTAACCTTGGTCTTAGACTGACTAAATTAAAATCTAATGCATATGATAATCATGTTAATTCCCATAGATAAACATAATTATAATACATTGCACAAAATAAAACAACGAAGCTATTAAGATTTTTTACATCACGATAAAAAAAAAAAGAATTTCATCATCCATATTTATATTTTAATGTGAAAGTGAGTTTGTTTGCTTGTTTGTATGTTTGTTTGTTATGCTTTTGCGGTTAAACCACTAAACCGATTTTAAAAAATCTTTCAACAATGCAAAGTTACATTTTCAGCGAATAACATAAGCTACTATTTATCGCGATAATTGACATACAAGCGGTCGGACCTGCGGGAAATACTAGTATTCAAGAAAGATTTTACTTAACTGTATATTTCGAGGATACCCTTATAGTTTCTAACCCGATGGGAGCTCTTTTTCAAGGAGTTAAACAACCTGCCGCAATGGTGTCAGCTATAGGCGTCATTACCCATCCGGCAAGACTAGAGACTACTACTAGACTAGATATAACCGTTTACATAAGCACTAGCTTTTACCCACGGCTTTGCTCGCGTGATTATTTCTTAGTTCGTGTTTCTAACTCTGAAAATTACAAACTTCTATACGACAGGTCATCCCTCATTTTAAGTCCTTAAAAAAGTGAAATTGGAGTGGCTGCTTTCAACATAAGAAGAATCATCATCATCAACAGCCTTTAATAGTCCACTGCTGGACATAGGCCTCTCCTTAGCAATTAGGTTTTGACCTACTATACCACGCTGGCCAGACGGGTTGGTATATTGTTTGTGTCAAGTTTTCCTTGTCTCTGCAGTGCTGTTGTCCTGCGTAATTTGCTTCCTAAGAAGCATCAGTTCCCAAAACTTCCTTTGACGCGCCAAAGCGGTATAGGGAAACGCTACTACGTCAAATAACGAAGTTTCATATAAATTTCCAATCCCCATTTTGCACCCTTAGGGGTAGAATTTTTAAATATTCTTTCTTAGTGTACACCTACGTCAACTAAGGAACCTTTTGTGCTAAAATTTTATGCTTGTAGACCCAGCGGTATTAGATAAAACAGTCAGTGAATGCCTGTCAGTTTCTTCTTTTATAGACATAGATTTATAGTTTTCGCCTTGTTCTTAGTCGTAAAAATGTATGGCAAAAGCCAATTCGTATTAGACATATTAATTTTAACTAGAAGGTTAACAAAAAAATAAATAGAGAAAAAGCACAATTAATTTCAGGATACGGCTCCGAATACAGCGATAGAGACTGGCAGTCGAGGTTCTGGCGAAATTTCAGAAAAAGTAAGACCTTTCAGTTATCTCTCATACATTTATAAATGAAAAGGTGCATTTGATATAGCTTCTCCTATTTCAGGCGAAGAAGAAGACAAACTATCGCCTTTCTTGATGGCGCCGTCACGCAAATCTTCAACAGTAAGCAAGGTAACAAGCATCATCAATTATCAACAGCCTTTAATAGTCCACTGCTGGACTTAGGCCTCTCCTTAGAAAGGAGGTTTTGGCCTACTATTCCACGCTGGCCAGACGGGTTGGTATAGGGTTTGTGTCAAGTTTTCCTTCTCTCTGCAGTGCTGTTGTCCTGCGTAGTTTGCTCCCTTAGTTGCCTCTTACGACACCCACGGGATGAATAGGGGTGGTGACAAGTCTGTGTTCTTAATCCGTCACCACACGGTAATATGACACTAATATTGCAGATGAGCATTATTTACCAAAGGTAAACGAGCAGTAATAAATACGTATATCTACGTCTAATGTTCCAGTTTTGTTATTGTTTAGAAATTTAAACCAAACAATACTAGCTGGTCTTATGTGCGACTTCTTAAGTCATAAAATTAATGAAATTATATTTTGAACACGCTTGCCTAAGGCCCCCGAGGAGGACAATAGCCATTTGACAATACCAAAAATTATGGCTACATCATCCAGTAATGAAACTTTAAAAGGTAAATGACGAAAACTAGACTTTATCAGGCATGTTATTTTTAAGTTTTTTTATCAATAAGTAAAGGTAAAGCCTTTGATTTGACTTGATTTATTTAATCTTAATTTAATCAAAATGAAATTCTCTGATCAGGAAAGTAAATCGCTCATTCTCCTGTTCAGGTACATCTCCATCATCTCCAGGAGCGATTAGCTCTGTAACTTTGGTTGGGAGTCCAAAGAAATCAAGTCCAAGTCATGACCAGTCTACTTCTAAAATTAAATCACCAATTAAAGACAATGATGCAGCTGCAGCACTCATGAAAGACGAGAGTATAGAGATGGTTGATCAAAGCGACGAAGATATCAAATACAAAGAAGAAGAATCAGAAAAAACTAAAAAGAAGCCAAACGAAAAGTTTAAAATATCTCAGAGATTTTCAGAGGTAAGTTTATTAGACAAGACCTTTACAAATGGAATTACTGAATATTGTAGTCATATCTGTAGATTTGTATAAAATACCAAACACGTAGGTATATATATGAAATAATTGAATATAGAACATGTGAATTATTATATTAACTATTTTTAACAATATTTTTAAATGACAAAATGAATAACAAATAATCTGATTTGGCGTTCCCATGAAGCTGATGTCACAGGTATAAATATATCATTATTTACTTTTCAAACCCGTTACATAATATCGCCTCCGAAATATTATTGTGGCTGAGCTATTTGTCTTGCAGCAGACATTGAATTTATTTGCTTTTTTTACGAGCCCCACAGAATTCACATTCAGGATTCATGCATGAAGCATTCATGATACCTGCCAGATGCTTTAAACGCCTCGCTCACTATCCTTTTTGCACAGTAATAATTAGCACCAACTAGATTTTTAGTTTTCCCGAACCCCTCAAGAACGAGCGTTTTTGGCTTTTTACAAAGCGAACTCAAATAGTTTATAAATCAGCGCGTGCGTACAATGTCGGAGAGTCCGCGGCGCCTGCAGCCTTCAGCTGCTGCTGCTTCTGCTGCTGCTTCCGAAGCGCGACGCCGCTCTGAAAGCGCTCACGATACAAACAACGGCAATGCACCCGACGAACCAAGACGAGCTTCTGATTCTGGGACGCGATTCGCTGCTAGAAGATCTGTCAGGTATTTCTATCTCGAGTTCTGCACGTTCTAGCAGGTTATGCATTTGTTTATAAATAATGTTATTATTTCCTATATATACTGCTTTAATTCATTTTATTTCTAGTGAGCGAAGATACACCAATTCGTCTATTAACAGCGAGCGCCGTCGCTACTGGAATGGGTCTGAGCCGCGTTCGTCTGTAACTTCTCAAGTGTCGCAGGTAGCACAGGTAAGGCAAGAACAGAAAATTTCTGATGAGCATATATATAAAATTTAAATACAACAATTAGTCAATTACTTATTTGTTTGTAGAATTACCGCCGCGAAACGAGTCAACCAAAAGCAGGTGTCGTAATTACCTCCTTCAGACAATCCCATCGAAGGTATCCTTGATCAAATTATATTACGTTTAGTTACGTACATTTGTATTTTCTTCGTCATATAAACAGAAATTATTAAATAATATACTTTGTTATTAATCATTTAGCACACATTGAAGTTCACGTTTCTCAATGTTGTGGCATGTTATTCACTTTTCTCTATAAAACTAAATTCTTTGATAAAATTCTTCTTATCATGATGCTTTTGCACGATATTCTATCAAAAGAGTCCTCCTACTATTTTTTTCATACTTGTTAATTTAAAAAAATGATAATATAATTATATTAATTCGACAGCTTTGGAAAAGACCTCTTGTGGTGAGTGATTGGTAAAGGTAAAAAATGTAGTAGAAATTACAAGACCTAGTAGAGGCGTAGTAGCGAATATAATTTTTTTCTACCTTTATGAATTTTGTGATTCCTATTTTGAAATGTAGACGCCCAATCACATGACATTACAGCCAAACGACACAAACCTTTTTTAAACTAATTCCTAGAATGGTATCTTATTTGACAATTGGTGTGATATTTGCCTCGATGGTGCAGTGGTAGCGTATGCGACTGCTGTGCTAAGATCTCGGGTTCGATCCCCGGGTCGGACCAAATATTTCTATGATCTGCAAATATTGGTTTCGGAGTCTGGGTATTTTCTATGTATAATACGTATGTATTTACTAAAAAAAAATATATATAAGTATTATCTTATCCTAGTATCAATCAATCTAGCTTTCATAGTACAAGATCTGCTTAGGTTGAAACTAGATGGCGTTGTGTCAGTTTTCCGAAAAAATTAAAAAAAATGACACACACGATTTGTCTGATATTTATACTAGAGACTTGTAATAAATGAGACCAAATATTAGATGCAAAAAGGGTAATTCTATGTACATAATATAATATCATATTCATGCGGTGATTAAAGCTAACTTAAACTTTAAGTATTTGACAAACTAATGTCATTCTTTTAGGGTGTAATAATATATAAACAGTCTGGAAAATAAGACACATTTATTTGTTCATCATTATTCTTTTTACTTGACATAGTTAAGTTTTAAAACAATAATATACTAGACAAATAAATTGGTACACGTATTCGAATTTTTTGTATTTTGACTTATATCGCTTATAAAAATTTAGGCATAGAGCGTAATTATTCAAAATTAGCCTTTAATATTTTGTATCGTTTCGGTTTTATAATTAGAAATTTAATTGCACTTTCGGTAAAAATTGTGTTATTTTGAAATAGCAAATAAATACAGATATTAGTTTCGTTAAGTATTCCGAGTTAATAATATTAAATATTTGCATGTATTTATTTAATATTATTGCAGGTATTAAAAAAATCGCTATGAATAAAATAAGATTTATATTTTTCTTAATACATTTCTGTCTTCGCTTTCTTGCATGTTTGTTCTATGTCATAGTCTTGTCTCCACTTGTCTTCCATATCTCTATTTCTAAAACACATTCACAAAATTTGTTCATTTGGTAATACGTAATAATTGATTTTAATGTGATTAAATCAAATACTAAAAATATTTGTATGTGTTCTAATAAACAAATCAAATTCATCAAGGTATCTTATTTGTAGTGTAGCTTATTGACAGCCAATAATCTTACTGAATTAAAATCAATTACAACGTATCCGTCTTGTTAAATTATCCAATTGACGTGAATACATTCTAGACTGAACCTAGTTCTAACCATCCTCGCTCGCTCGCTCTAATCGCTCTTTCCCTTACTCTTCACATTCATTTTACATAATTCCAGCAAATAGTGAGTTTGTTTCAAGTTTAAATTAATATGCTTTGGATTTTAATATTTTTAAATGGTCTAGGAGCAGTACATCCACGGCAGCAGCAGCATTTGCGGTGGCTACATCAGCATCTTCTAATCCAAGGTCACCACCACCAACATCTCCACCTGCAACTAGAAGAGATTCTGTTATATCTACTGCTGCTACTATGAGAGTTCTCAATGTTTTAAGGTATCCTGATTCAAAACTTTCATCTCCACTTCAATGCTAAAAAGTTTTAAGTGTCAGAGAATGATTTTTAGTTTATTTCAACGAGTTTAGTCATTATCGGTTTTTATTAATTGTAGACATTGGATATCCAAGCACTCACACGATTTCTGGTCAGATGAACGCCTACGAGGACTAACAATGGACTTTCTTAAAGAGATAGAGGGCAGCCCAGGATTACTTCCAGCGGAACATAAGGCTGCTGCACAACTGCTTCGACTACTGGAACGAGCACCAGATAGACCTGTGGATTTAAAGATATTGTTTGCTACACCTCGGGTAAGATAAATAAGATAAATTATAATGACATCGGATATAGGTAGTAATACTTATTCTTGTAATATCCATTTCTTATTCCATCCTTTTCACTTTTATGTAGATAATCATAAAAATATATATCTTTTTAGATATCTTTTTGTTTTTTTATTAAATATGGATACACATTGCAACATACAATACGTTATCTTGAGAACCAATGAGAGCCTAACGGAACTAATGTTGGCTCTAGGAAATATAAATTGGTTAATACTGGGTCTGAGTGCAGTTTGACGCCTAGGGGAGAGTGTAGAAAACCATGGGCGTTTTATATTATATTATAAAGGAGAAACACCAGGCTTATATGGAACAGAATTCTTAATAAAACATAAATTAAAACCTTGTATTGACGAGTGCATTAGCGTCTCAGAGCGTAGTGTAATACTGAATATAAAACTAACTCCAAATAACGAAAACTGGTCGTTTGTTCAAGTCTATTCTCCAAATGAACAATCTAGTAGAACAGAAATCTACACCTTTTACTCTATGGTACAAGACGCAATAAACAATCACTCGCACAACAATTTGCTAGTAATGGGAGATTTCAATGCAAGAACAGGGGCAAGAGGAGACGGAGAACAAATGATATTGGGTCCGTATTGTTTAGGCAAAGGCACAAGAAATGGGAAGAGACTTGTGCAACTGGCATACGAAAACAACTTAAAAGTACTAAACACCTCATACAGAAAACGTGAGAACAACAGATGGACATATATGGTCACCACAAAAACGAGATAGATTACATACTAACAAATAAAAGTAAAGATTTTCGAGGCTGTAGAGTGCTAAACAATATTAATTTTAACAGCAACCACAGAATGATAAGAGCTAAGTTACAAATAAGCACACTCAAGAAAAATAACTAACTAATAACTCAGAACCTTCTAAATATTTTTTGAACGGATTCCTCGTAGCATACTAATTTACTGTATATATACTGAAATTACTCGTACATTGTATTTTAAGGTGCTGACTAAAGAGAGCGTGGAAACACTATCAGCTCTTGAAATTGCAGAGCAAATGACATATTTGGACTTTCAGATCTTCAGTTCAATTAATAGCGAGTAAGTTATGATACATTCTCAGCACCAAAAAGTTTATATTCGATACTTATCAGCAATTAATTTAAGTAATTAACATGGCCTCAATGCGAGCATTTATATAACTCTCATATTTAATTTATCTGTCAATTTTGGTAGTGGATGGTTTGTTCTTAATTTGCTGAATATTTTTCAGGGAGTTTCTAGGCCAGGCATGGACAAAAGCAGACAAGGCTGAGAGAGCCTCACACATTCTAATGATGACATCTCATTTCAATCACATTTCAAACCTTGTTATATCTGAAATTTTAAAGAAGTATACTTTAGCCGGTATGTATTTTATTGTCCATAGTATAAAAGTTATTATATTTATAACAGATTCGCGAACGAACATACACATACTTACACGCAGGCTTAAATTTAAAATACATCTACAATTACTATTTCTTAGCTTAGCTATACCTTAGCTATATGCTATTGTTTAAATTATTACATTTAGTTTAGTTTTGTAGTGATATGATTCACTCCTAAATTTAAAATCATTACGAATCTAAAATAAAATACCGGGCCTAGATATGAACCTTGGAGGACACCTGAATTTTAATAATATTCAGTAATGCTTACAACCTTTTTAATTTCGAAATTCTCTGATACATAGGTCGTGTGGCAGCAATAGAGAAATGGGCAGCAGTGGCGGATATAGCACGCTGTCTGCACAACTTCAACGGAGTTTTACAAGTGTGTGCAGCGCTCTCAAACACGTCGGTGTACCGACTCAAGAAAACTTGGGAGAAAGTATCTAAGACCGTAAGTATGCTGTGATGAGTGATGCTTAGGTGATTTAAATTTTTCCAAACAATTCATAGATTGTTTGTATAGATTCATCATCATCATCAATCGTCATCAACAGCCTTTACTAGTCCACTGCTGGACATAGGTCTCTCCTTAAAAATGAGGTTTTGGCCTACTATACCACGCTGGCCAGTCGGGTTGGTATACGGTTAGTGTCAGGTTTTCCTTCTCTGCAGTCTCTGTTGTCCTGCGTAGTTTGCTTCCTTGGTCGCCTCTTACGACACCCACGGGATGAATAGGGGTGGTGACATTCTGTATTCTTAATCCGTCACCACACGGACAATTGTATAGATTGCTTAGGCACTATTAATTTTTCTTTGTGTTTGAAGGCAGACTATATAAGAAAGATAGCGAAAATTATCATAAGAATTTGCAACTCGTGAGTATAATTTACTGGTTTTAATAATATGTCAGGTTTGACTTATCCCAGTTGAATTTTATTTTACAGAGCAAACAAACGATAGAGCGGATGCAAACTATTATCTCATCGGAGTGTCGATTTAGGATCCTGAGGGATGCCTTGCACAGGTAAACACAGTCAGTTGTAATACAAAATCTCTATAGCTAACATGGTATTTTACATTGTAATACCATTCCAGGTGTGACCCTCCATGTATCCCGTACTTGGGAATGTACCTATCAGACCTTTCGTTCATTGAAGAAGGAACCTCCAATTACACGCCTGATGGGCTACTCAACTTTTCAAAGATGCGAATGGTAATACGTTTTACTTAAAACCCAGACTTAAATATGAAATTATTCAAACGAGACTTATTATTTTATATTTTCGCTTTGCAGATTGCACATGTAATTCGAGAAATCAGGAACTTCCAGCAGACTCCCTATAAAATTGATCATATACCAAAAGTAAGTTAAGGCTTGTTTATTAAAGTTTGTGTAAATCTACCATTATTTATTTGATCAAATTTCTTTTAAGATATCTTATACCTTAGTTTAACGAAATTGTCCTTGACAGATATTACTTAACTTTTAGTTATCTCGCGCTAGTCGCGAGCTTGCAAGGAGCCAAGGAGCTCTGCTAACCTAGTAAAAAAAAAACCTTGCCAGGATATATAAGTTTTTGAGCGTGTTTCTTGCTTGATGAAGATCATTTAAAAGGCTTATTAGAAATCCTTAAGTTAAAAAAAATACAGTCTTGAGGTCATTGGCTTTGGTTTTATAAGTTAAATCACTATACTTTATTTGAAAATCATCATCTTAAGTTCTGCCCTCTTCTTAATTTTATTTAGGGTTGACCAAATGTGTAACAATGTGAAAAGTTTGGTCTAGTTTCTGTTTCTATCTAGTTTCTGTTTCTATCTACTTTCTGTTTCTATCTAGTTTCTGTTTCTATCTAGTTTCTGTTTTTTTTCGTTGGGAATTAAGTCGCTTTGAGATAGAACAAAGGAAGAAGGTAAATTGTTAGGGCAAGTCATTGGGGAAGAGACCATCATCGCGTACACGAGTGTCCGTTTTCTGATCGGATACGTCATGCATTGGTTACTTAATAGGTTATACCGTGGGCTAGTTTGATCGGTTGAGTTTCTCATAAATAGTCGTTCCTTATGGCATACATGTGCTATTTGTAAGAAAATTAATATTATCGATAGGTATGTGACTTCCTCCTGGACAAGTCGCTGGTGATCGCCGAAGAGCGACAGTACCTCCTGTCACTGGAGCTGGAGCCGCGCGTGGCGCGTGGCTCAGGCGCAGGACTGAGCAGCGGCGCGAGTGCGGCGTCGCCGGGCTCCTAGCGCCGGCGCCGCGCCTCCCTGGCTGCGCTCGCGCCGCTGCGCTCCGAGCGCTAAACAGGGAGACGCGTTATTCACCAACTATGCTTTGCTACACGAACTCTTTTGTTATATGTGAACGATACTTGCTATTCTTAGTTATTCGTTTTAAGTGCTGTCAAATGTTTGAAACCGTAGATTAATCCACTAGCTTTACCCTACTACCCTTTACTAAATTAGCTCGAGTTCAATACTGGTTAAATTTATATCACTTCCTCCGAGTTAGGCTTGGATAGTTTTCAACAATTAATTTGGAAATATATAAATAATATATAAATCTTTATCTCGTTACGACATCGACTTAATCGATGACTGACTATATCGATTTATAATTGAACATTAATCTTAAGTACACAAATGAACGGTACGACCGCAAATATTGTCATTGAAAAATTAATAGAGTTAGCAGTAGTGCAATACTATATTTTCAGAAACACGTAGGAGTTCAACTAAACTCAAAAAGAAAATACAAGTCTATCATGAATATTTGAGAATATTAACTAATTGTTTATAGTTCAACAACCCCTTCAACCCATTAATTGTTTTAGAATTAAATCGTCAACTAGGATTACAAATGGGTCCTATTGAACAATCTAAAAAAAAAACACACTATTATTTAGACCAATATTTCATAGCAATTTAAAAAGTAAATACTCGAAAAGTGCAACCGAAGTGCAATTATGTTTATTTTCATCTAATTAACTTCAACGATACCTAAATTACAATTCGCGGTATTAATATGAAAAAAATCTTCAAATACAGGTGTCCATTTTAAATATTTTTTATCACCAATTTTAGATGTAAAGTATAGACTAATAAATAAATCTTCAACCATAAAAATTCTAAATAATGGCTAAGTAAAGAAAATATTTAAATGCCTATTCAGGCGAACTATTTTTGTACATAATCTTCTTGATTCGTCAATTAGACAAATATTGTATGGAGTCAACGACATATCATTTACTCTCCTAGTAACCTTCTCCATATCATCAAAATTTATACATTAAGTAAGTGTGTGGTTAACACATTGTGTGGTTAAATAAAATCTAAATGTAGTTCGGACTTATGACTTTTATAATTTCACTATGAATTTTTTTAAACAATAATACGCAGTGTCTGAAATGCAAATCTCAGTACCACTTTGAATACAGACTTTGAACCTCTGGGCAAAGATCGCGTGGCTCACCTGATTTTTATTATACAAATGATCCTGGAAACCAGCCGTGGGCATGTAGCGGTCTTCTAAATAAATACATAGGCTTATAGCCTAAGATCCCACCTGCTGATTCTGTAGGTATCTATTTTGGTCTGTCAATGAAACCTATTTTAAATTAATGATTAGTGAGTATACAATGCAGTACTGCCGGGTAACCTATATAAAGATTGCCTCAATAACATGCAATTAAATTTTGTGTAATTTATTTATTTGTAAAAATTTCAATAAATTATACGTCATTTAAAATGAAATGATCTGAAGAATTCAAGAAATAATGGTTGCCAGCTCCCAGTCAGCCGCAACATCTGGGTTGCCAGACGTCAACAGTACATTATTGTTAATTATTTACAGTCATCTGTTTTTTTTTTTAATTAATATAACATCAAATTGATGTTTAACATTTGTTGTACACGATAACCTACCAGTTACAAGATGGCCGCAAGTAGTGATTGCCATGATTTAAATTAATTATTTTCGCTCCAGATGAGTGTGAGCAAGAGATATAACCACAGATTAAGAGATATGTACATGGATATAACGTTTAGTACGATATAGATAGCGTATAGGATACATATGTTTTTAGAATGAATTTCATATACGTATAATATACGCTTTCAGAGACAACACGCAATAACCTTTGGTATTCTGGAGCACGGATCGATGCTGTCTATTTAGTTTGAGTATTAACACTTATTCCTTACGCTATTTTTTTAAAGGCTACGCTAATAATAATAATAATGCATTGCATACTTACTAATCTTTAATTTAAATCACATTTCATAAAAAAATACCTGTAGAATCGAGCGGTGGGGTCTCGGTTTCTAAACTGACGAAAACTTTTCGAAATATAATTTTATTTTTATTATTAAATTTTATTTTTTCACCATAAACTACATTGTTTAACATTACAATGAGCTTGTTTTTAATTATTTTTTAGGTAACGTAAAATAAATGTATGTCTTATGAAAGTGTGAATTCTAAACAGTATTTTAATAAAACAATAATTATAGGAATGAGAGCTTTTGTAAATATTTTCTACGTAAATAAGAAAAAATATTGGTCACTCATAAAAATTAATTAATCCATTACGACCTTAAATATGATACATCAAAAATCTATATAGGTTATTCCTGATGCGCACAGCTACACCTATGTACGTAATTCTATAAAACGCAAAATATAGAATATTCAAGTTTCGGATCGGATTACAGATCTGCAAATTTGGGCCTAAATTGAGTTACAGAATTAACATCTAAGGGAAAACAAGTACATACTTGATAGGTTTTAGAATTTAGGAAGGCATTTGATTAAAACTATGAAAGCACCATTGCGTAGTATTCAAGCAGAGTGATTGATAAATTAAAGAACTATTTATGTTTTATCTATACACTACTAATATAAACATATCCCTTGTACTTTATATGGATTTCTTCGACGATATCTATAATAAGGGTACGGTTAGATACTTTCTTGTAGGTGTTTTTAAACATGATGTTATATTTGAAGGTATGAAAGTGGTTGTTACATGTTACTGATGGTTGTTATAGTCATTTCGACTGCTTTTATACAATCTTTAATAATATTTCCCTTGTTATTCTACCTTGCTTGTTAGTTATATTATAATTATCATAGTTGGTGTACCACAGGGACATTAATTGGGTCCTGTTTGTTTCGATGAATATTTAACAAATAAGGACCATTTTCAACTATCTTCAAGATAAAAGTTAATAAAAAAAATTGTTAAATTATAATTGAAAAATAAATAAGAGTCATATTCAACATGCGCTTTATGATCAAGATGGTTTATTAAAGTTTATTAAAGACAAAGTAAGTAATTTTTCTACAGAATATATGAACTTATTTCGTCAGTATTAATTATATTATAGGGATAGGTACTAATTCAATGTGAGCAAAATAGTTTTCCTTGACGGTAAGTGTAACGTTCTTCGTAGTATTTGTTGTAACTTAACGTGATTTCAAGTGAGAGTACTGTCTGTAAGTCTTTTCTACATCCTTTTCTATGTCATTTAATGTTAGTGTTAAAAATAGATGTTGTAGGACTGTTTTAATTAAGTTGTGAATATCTTATACAAATCGCCGGTTCCAAATTGTCTTTTTCACACATATTTGAACACAAGTGTCCATAAGTACTTGTATTCATAATAAAATTATTATTCCGGCTGTTGTTACTAAGTTTATTGTGAGTACTATATTTAACTCACAATTTATTAAAAATTACATATTACTATGGCTGTTCATTAATAAATATTAATATTTTGGGGATTTTGACATACCTTTATATATATGCACAATTTTTAAAATTATTATCACTAGTCTGTCACATATCTTATTTAAGATTAAGATTCGTATTATTATGCATGGTAAGATACCGTTTGTTTTGGTTTATAATTGTCTTCCCGTTTGAACAACTTTTGTAATAACGCTCTTTATTTAAGTAAATAAATAAAAGTAAGAAGAGAAAGTAAAGAATTCAGTAATAAAATCGATTATTAACGATTGAATTTCAATCGAATATCTAAAATGAAAATCCAACACTACACTTCGATTTTAAATCTCTTATGAATAAGTCGTTAAGGATTTTTATTGAATACGTAAGTAATTATAAAAGAAAACTGACAAAAACATTAAGGGCTACCTCCCCAATAAAAGTTCTAAATATTATAGATATAATTATCGTATCGAGATTATATTTATTGTTAAATGTTGTAATTTCTAGTTCGTTGTCCGATTCTTGTTACTTACTTTAATATTAATGAAGTTGACAGTATCATTAGTTAAAAATATATCATTACTATGATGTAAAATTTTACTTAAAACATCTTTAATAATATATTTATAATATTTAACATTAAGAATATGCTTTCAATCTACCCTCCATAGCATCAAAGCCATTTTTGTCCGTAGTTCTATCGTCATCATTTTCGGTGACAATAAATGTTATATAGTCTAAATAAATTACTAAAGATACATTTAAAATTAATTACGCAATGTTAGATAAATATTACTGCATTGTAGGTGCTTAAAGAGTTTAATTACATATTATATCATTGATAGAAGAGTGGTGTATTTTTTCTATATTATTAATTAACTCTGGAATATTATCTTTTAGTAACAATATATTTTTAGTTTTAATTTTATTATTTGACCTATTAGATGTACCGTCAAGTTTTACTCAAAATTGTTGTCAAATTTCGAGGAGCTATAGCGAAATGCGTAATTTTAGCCAACAATAAGAAAAACAGACATCCACTGTAGTAGGTATTGCATTGTCTCGAAATGAAAAAATGTTCAGATATTGAAAATTATCAAAAAGGAATATGAATTTATTTCTAAAACGAATGTTTAGTAACTTAAATAACGTAATAAATATTACCAAATGTTATTTATTTAGATGTATTAATAAAAAAAAACAGAATCAAAATTCAAATGCCGAATTAAATTATAAAACTACAAAAGCAAACACCTTTCAAGCATCTTCTACAGTTGAACGTGAACGTGGAGTTGGAACGATATCAAATTATTTCAGTGCTCCGTCCGGTACGCGTAATTGCTATTACAGCTAATGGGTACACAAGGCTAGACGCCACAAACTTAGCCACAAAAATGCACGTATTCTGCTTTTTTGGGTTTAACTCACGGTACATCTAATGCAGTGTTCTGATCAGTATTATCAATATTAATAAAGAACAATATTTCTTATTGCCGTTTTTAAGTTCCATATTTATAT